GCCACTTTGACACACTTCACACATGACACGGACATTTTTAAGAAACCTTAACTAAAGGAAGGTTTCATTTTGCACCTTACTCCTGTTGTCCATCTCTTTTATGTTATGGCTTGACTCTGGGGAATCTAGCCATAACAGTATACAGTATATGAGCATAGTAGATGTATCATTTATCTGTAGGCTACAAAGGTGGCCCGCATGTGTGGGCGGCGGCTCGGTGTGTGGGTCGGTGCGTCTGAACGTCCCGGGCTGAATTTGTGTCCCAGTCCGCCCCTGCAAGGCAGGTGTGAACGCACCCTAAAACACACTGAAAATAATGGACAAAGTGTGTTGTTGGGCTGAAACAGCTGTTTGTAAGAAGAGGCAAAGGAGAACTTCACCAGTGTTCAAGCATAAACAGAGAAGGGAATATAAATATCATCCGACATAAAATAGATCACCAGTAATTTGTCTTCGTTTTGCCTCCCAGGGCTTCCGTAGATTTCAATTGGCATAAAATAATCGAAAAACCTTGTTGAAACCATTTTCTTTCTCTGGCTTATACTATGGAGATTTGATCTTTAGAAATGCATTGATAACACACCAAAGAAATGAATCAGTCGTTCTGCTCTCAGATTTATCAGCGGTGAAAAGCACAGCTCCAATCATTACATCCCTGAGAGAAAACCGACTGTCCCTCTCGTTCCATCAGCGGGGGGGCAGCCTCCTCTGCTGTCGGCTCTTTATTAGCAATCAGGCTTCTATTGTTCCACTTACCACCAGCATGGATAACTGAGTTTCAGCAACACACACACACACACACACACACACACACACACACACACACACACACACACACACACACACACACACACACACACACACACACACACACACACACACACACACACACACACACACACACACACACACACCTTTCTGCACAGTCTGCTGCTGCTTACTGGAAAGCTCTCTGGTTCCCCACTGCTCTTACACTAAGAACCCATTTCCTGCTCTCTTATTTATGATCCTGCTGCTGGATAATCTAGTCTTAGATCAATTACGCTGCGCAACCTATGAGCCGCATATTACAGTGACACAGAATAAATCTGTCGTGGGAGACATCGCATGAAATGTAACGCCCCTTGTCATGAAATATTTCCTTGAATAGAATGTCAGTCTCCGTCAGTGGATTCAACAGCAGCAGCTCTGCTACCACATTTTTACAGTTTTTCTCGATTGCTAACACACTTTTTTTTGTTTTAATTGCTCAGTTTCTCAGAACACTAAACACAATTCACAAAACCACACACCCAAAGTGCAAAACACCTAATTTCTCCTGCTAAGTGAAGAACTGCACTCAAAACTACATAAACACTTTCCAAATGCAAACTTTAGCACCAAATATAACACACTTCATTCATAATACCAGATTGTTTGACCACCCAACTACACACTGCTGAGCATACTCTAAAGCACTTTCATCTGTTATGGGCTATGCTCTGTACATAGAGGTTTCTGCAGAGAAAGATTGCTTGAGTTTACAGAAATACAGTAAATGAAGAAATACAAATGAGTTGTTGAAAAAAAATCACATTTAATTCAAAGATAACATTGTGCAACATGCATCTCAGCACATAGTTACTATGCTTCAGATCTCTCTGAGTGTGATGCATTGTTTGCCAAAACCCAGTTTGTAGCTGCTGCTTCCTGTGCCTCATTGAACATCCTTAGCCTTCCACCTCCTTGTTTCTCAGTCCTTCAGATAAACAACAAAGACATAGTGGTCGGTCAGTGTCTGTGTTGCATCAAAGTAAGTTCACCACAGTACATTGTGCAGGATGTGTGCACAGTTATAGTACGCAACATGCCAACAATTCAATTACAGTAATGAAGTAAATACGTTTCACACAACAGATATAAGCACTGATATATCATGAGAGTACTCTTCTTTGTCCACGTCCTCTCCCTCCAGCTCTACCTCTACCTCTCATTCTTCCTCCTCTCACTCTCAGCCCAGCTCTTCCTCTTCCTCTTGCTCTTGCTTCCATGTTGACTTCCATTGTTGCTGTAAGAAAGTACTCACCTGTGGTCTTTTTATAGTGCTAACATCCTGATTGATGAGCCAACAATTATGCTATCAGGTGTTTGGTCAGGTGGAACGTGTTTCTTGATCATTGGTCCATGTGTGAGGCTTTTTGAAAATCAGTGTTTTAAACCTGCTAACACGTGGCTTTATGTCAGATTCCTGAGTCTTACGTGGAGAAACGTGTGCAGTGGTTTGCAAAAAGTGCCATGTTGATTTGCAAATTGTGTGAAAATCTGAAAACGTGTTTTGGAGATTTGAGCCGATGTTTTGCTCTTTGAGTGTCAGTTAAAATAATTGTGCTTTATGTATAATTTTAGTGTGTTAGCAATCGAGAAAAACTGTAATAACATGTTAAAGTATTGGACTATTTTCAGGTCTGATACAATGCTGCCCTCTGCTGAAAGAGGAGGGGAAAAGCACCTCATTTATTATTTCCTTAGCTTATTTATGGTTACCTAGTGTGTGATGGATTGGTGAAATACATACCTTACACCCTAACCCTAACATTTTTGGAGATCAGCATTAAAAGTGCACGTGTGCCTACATTGAAAGATCTGATGCCTACAAACATGATTAACAATAAACCAATACAACTGAGGTATAAACATATACAGTTGTGTACATATTTTGTATATACAGTATAAACATACTTTGGTTTGTCACTATTTTAAAAGCAGTGACTATAATAAATTGAATTAACTGGGTCATAACAGTGGATATACTTTTATTTGAGAAGTTTATTTTTAACTCTACAACTAGGCTAAGCTAAATTCAAGTACTTAAAGAGCCTGTGACTGATTGATTGATTGATTGAAAAGTTTATTAACAGCTTGTATATTGGGTACAGTACAGTACAGCTCAAAACATACAATTGTTAAGGGGATGCAGACCAGAGAAAGACTTTCCATTTCCAATTCATCATGTCATTTAAGACATATAAGACATATTTGACATACAGATGGCTTATTTACAATTTACATACAGGTGGTTTTTTACATACAGATTGCTTATTTACAATTTTCATTTTAGATTTCGTTCTAATACATCCTAACCGGACATTTAAGACATACCAAGTCTACAGATATACAGTTAGTAACAGAGTCTAAAATGCGAGTATATACATAGATGGGGGGGGGAAGCTGTCCATTGAACGACAGGTTGAGATTTGTACCATTACCGGGGCCAGTTTTGCAATGCTCTCCCCCGAAGGTGCTCTTTAAGAGAGGTTTTGAAGGTAAGTATAGTTTTACTTTCCTTTACAGTTGTGGGAAGAGCGTTCCACCTTGATGTGGCATAATTGCGAAACGTGTATTCCCCCTTTTTTGTGCCAAATCTGGGTTTCACATGATTTGTGGAGCTCCCTCTGGTGTTATGATCATGGTATTCCTTGACCTTTGGGAAGAATTTTGACATGTACATGGGTACCATAGAGGTGTAGTGGATCTTGTAGACCAGGCCCATTGCAAGTAGCTGTACTCTGTCGTCTACTCTAAGCCATCCTAGGTTGTCAAAGTGGGCAGAGGTGAGGTGGGTTCTAGATGAAAGGTCAAGCAGTAGTCTGACCAGTTTATTTTGCGATGTTTGAAGTTTTATTTTTAGCGCCTTGGAGGTGCTATGGTACCATGACGTGCAAGCATAGTCATAGTACCCTTGAATGAGTGCTCCTGCCAGAGTTTTCAGGGTGTTTTTGTTTACCAGAGAGGAGATCCGGTATAGGAATCTAGTTCTTTGATTGACTTTTTTTATTACATTGGATGCCATTTTGTCACAGGAGAGGTTTGCCTCAAGAATAGATCCTAGGTATGTAATTTCCTTCTTACTTGTGACAATAATGTCGCCCACTGCAACTGAGAAGTCGTCGGATTAGCTGAGATTATGTTTCGAACCGAAGAGAATGGACTCTGTTTTACCCAGGTGTAATGATAATTTATTATGACAGCATCCCAACAACTGTTGTGCAATGAAATATTGGGCTACTAGTCATCTCGAATCGTCAGTTTAAAAAAGAAAAAGCGATACCGTTCCGTTAAATATCAATAATTTCGAACATCGCGGGGAAATTCCTTCGACTCATTTTGAAGTTTTGGGGGAAGCCGGAAGTGACGTCAATGCGGGAACGCTTCACTGTGCGGCGAGAGAGCCAAACACGGACAAAGTGTGTTGTCATGCGTAGAAATGGTGAATTACTGGGTTTAGGCACGTTAATAACGTTGTAATGAAGTTGACTACAGTATATTCATATTTGTCAGTGCTTTCATGTAAATTCGGCGAACATAAACATAAATGATAGTGGTGAAGATGATGATTAAATTAGGATTAAAAATCGGTAGTGAGAGCTGCTGAATTTCCTCCAGTCGGATGTGATATAAAAACAAATCGATTATTTTTGTAGTTGTAAACTCAAGTGGATGAAACTACATTTATTAGTGCTTTCATGTCAATTCGGCGAACATATGATACATTAAATGATCGTGAGAATGAGGATTAAAAATCGTTTGTTTGTGCCGGTCTGCATTTCCTGATGAGAAAACAAACCGATGCTGTTTGTAGTTGTAGTACACCAACATGGATTAAACGTGTGTTTTTTCCCCACAATGTTGGGGAAATTAATGGATAAAATGCACGGATTATTATTACTATTAGTATTCCCACTCCGATCGGGACACCAGGTCCACCGTTTCCCCGCAGCGAGGCTCCCCCCGTTGACAGTTTACGTGGGCTGGGTGCAGTGGCGGACTGGCCATCGGGACGAATCCCGATGGGCCGGTACCGAAGTGGGCCGGTCGGATAAGTCACTAGCACATCCCCCATAGGCGGCGCGTGAGGCTCAGGTTTGGGAAGGCTAAATAACTAATACACAATACAGCTGTTCCATTCTATTTTAACTGACTGAATTTTTGATTTTCTCTTCCTCTGTCTCTCTGTCTTGCAGGTATTTTATTTTCCACATTAGTGTTCGGCCCGGCCTGTGGCTTCATCTTAGGTTCTGTCTGTACCAAAGTCTACGTCGATGCTGTCTTCATCGATACCAGTAAGTGGCCACTTTATGTATTTCTTCAAATAAATATTTTCATTTGTTAATTTCACTTACAATACTTATATTTCTTAAGATCCTAAGGAGGAAATTAAGAACACCAAAGTATTGTAATGCAATTTCTTAAAATTGTATGACTAGGGCAGTCAATGTTGATGTCAATGTTGTTGTCAAAATGATGGCGCTGGCAATTCATTTACACCTTAAAATGAACGCAAAATAATCACGTTACCAAGTCTGATCCCAGCTTCCTCAAGCAATTACAGCGCAGAGAGATTAACCCTTATTGATCCGAAGGGGAAATCCAGTTTTCCAGTCTGTTTGTTTTACACACACAGTACAGCACAAATGGTCCGGTCTGATTGGAACTTGAACCAGCAACCCTTCTGTTATGAAGCCAAGTCTCTTCACACTGAGCTACCCATAATAAAGCAGCCGTTGCCACTGATAGTGCTCAGAATATGATAGAGGCAGCCACAATACATCCATACTTGTAGCACACACTATAGAGAGGGTGATCACAGCGGCTCTCTGTAACTGTGGCTTTGTCAAAGAGGTAGCTCAGTGTCGGAAAATGGTTGGATTTAAAGCGAAACATTTCGAAATCATGTTATAATGAAGTCAAAAAATCGAATATAAACCAGTTTGTCATGCATTTCTTTATTACAACACCACACATGTATTTGTTTTATCTCTCCAAAAATACATTTTAAATGTATGATTTATCAAAAGTTTTAATGTCATTGTGATTATTGAAAATTAGTTTTTTTTAATCGATTGACACCTCTACCTGACATAACTCAACATCCCTCCATGGTGTAAATGTCCCTCCCTCTCCTGCAGGTAAGCTGGATATCACCCCGGACGACCCTCGCTGGATCGGGGCGTGGTGGGGTGGCTTCCTGCTCTGCAGTGCCTTACTCTTCCTGTCGGCCCTCTTCATGTTCGGCTTCCCCCAGTCGCTGGGCGAGCCGGACATGGACAGCGGGGGGGAGAGTGAGCAGGCCATGCTGCCTCCCTCCCTCAGCGAGTATCAGGGCTCCAAACCCAACGGGGCCATCCACGGCTTCGACATTAACAGCGGCCTCACAGTGTGTGAGCATCTGAGACGTGAGGGGGAGAGACTGGGAAGGATATAACATCTGTTTACAGTCCATATATTTATATATTATTACAATGAGCAGTATTTAATTTCACTGTACAGTTTTTAATTTTAATTGTACATCCTGTGTCATGTTATTATATTTTAAATATTACCCCAGTGTGCGGAAAAAAAACACTCTCTCTCTCTTTCTACACACAGCGATCCACTGCCCGTTTAACAGCCTCATCTTTGTCAGACTTTCTTATGTTCTTTCTCCAACACGTAATGAAGGTTATTAAGCGTTTTAGCTCCTGTGTTGTTAATATTGACCGCCATTTCCTTTATGAAGTAAAGCAGCCTCCCTGTCTGTGTCCTCGCGCTGTCCTCACATCCCCGGACTGTGAGACAGACTCGGAGGAGCACAGGGAGGTCAGTATTGTTTATGAAGCAGGGTATAGAAAGTACATTATTGAAATGAAAATACTATTTATTTACTTTTACAAACAGTGAGCAGCTGGGCAGCTGCAGCAGATGTGTTGCAGGACATGTGATGGACAGACTGTGTGGTTGGACTCTGTCTCACAGGCAGGTTGCAGTGTAACATCAGAGGAGACACATTCTCAAACTGCACCACTTAGAACCAACTAAACAATGCAGAGATTATTTTTATATAATTGTATTCAATAACCGTAACAAAGCTAAACAGTATGAAGTGATTTGTAAATAGGAATACAGATTTTTCTCCCAGTGAAATTGGCATGGGACTTATTTTTACCCTCTCAAAGAACCGGAATCGAGAATCGAAAAGCATAACCGGAATCGTTAAAATCCAAAAGATGTCATTCTGGACAAGTGAAAAATGTATTCGGACAAGTAAATTGCCAAACTCACTTGTCCATGGACAAGTACTCTCTTAAAACTTTTTCTTACAGTGTACCCGTTCCTGAATTTACTATTTTTCTTTTTATGTCTTAATTATATTGTATGTTGCACTTTTGAAGAAGTCAGGGCCTTTTCATTGCCAACTCATTTGTGTAGCAATTGTGTAAATTGCAAAATTCTCCATCAGAAATACTTAATTTATTCTGGTGGCTAATTGGATTTCATGGCAGTTGATCAATTTTCAAATAAAAGATACATTTAAAAAATAATTATTTATAAACTTGAGAAGTAAGAATGTGCAATAAAATCCTACAATTAAATGAAACAAGATACATACAAAATTTAAAATGACTGTTTAATGACCACTTGCAGGATTTCGGTTGCAGTCAAATAGTCAAAAAATCAGCTCCTATCGGCTATTCTTATCCACTATTTCTTGACCTCTCTCTGAAACGTCAGTATAAGCGCATCTAGTTGTCGATCGGTTGAACCGTGAAAGGCCGAATGTTGTGTCACGGTAAATGTTGCGGCCGCAAGGTATTGTGGGACAGCCTTTTCTCCTTTCCTTTCGTAAAGGAAGGTCCAGTGTTTCCTAAGCTAAAGGAGGTTGTAAAGGAAGTTTCAAAGCTCCTTTCCTATAATCTGGAGAATTCGAACGGCACTTATCATGGCTGCCACTGAGGTACTTCTGGGTCATTTCACTCCGTTAGTAAGGTTCCTAAGCTAAACTGACAATTAGACCGCAACCACCATATTTGATGGCCACTGGCAGGAATTACTTCCTGTTCCAATAAACCTTTGAATCTTTAAAAAAATATTAGGTAAATGAATAATCTCAGAAATGATAACTCCCTTTTTTCATTTTCTCTTCACAATTCTACCAGTGATCCCGCGGGTGACCCGGCACCTTCTGTCCAACCCAGTGTTCAGCTGCATCACGCTGGCAGCCTGCATGGAGATCGCCGTGGTCGCTGGCTTTGCTGCCTTCCTGGGAAAATACCTGGAGCAGCAGTTCAACCTCACCACCTCCTCGGCCAATCAGCTGCTAGGTAGGCGGGGCATAATCTTGTCATAAAGATGATGGAGAACCTTATTTTCAAACTAAATGAAAAAATACATTTGTGAAAACAGAAACCTTCTCTCAGGCAAATTTTATTAAAATAATTGTTGGAAACGTACCCACGTCCCTCCCTCCCCAGGTATGACAGCCATCCCCTGTGCCTGTCTGGGGATCTTCCTCGGGGGGCTGCTGGTGAAGAAGCTGAACCTGTCGGCCCTGGGCGCTGTCCGCATGGCCATGATGGTCAACCTGGTGTCCACCGCCTGCTACGTTTCTTTCCTGTTCTTGGGCTGTGACACCGGACCTGTCGCTGGGGTTACTGTAGCCTACGGCAACGAGTAAGCAGGGGCAACCTACTTATGTATTTGTTTATAGAAACATATTCCTCCCAGGATATCCTTACTTGGACTTCAAACATGATGGATACTAAAACTATGCCCAAAAACAAAGTGGGAATGTAGCTATGTCTTCTAGCATTTCTGTTTACATGTAGGCCTATTAATTCAGAATTCAAGTCTTGTGTAAGGGACCAAACAACTTAAATTCTTGTTACAGTAAGCACTGCACTTGAAGCGCTGAAACCTTGAAGTTATTTTACGAATTTCACTGAAAGGAAATATTGGCTTGGCCTGGTTACTTTATGATGTGAGGATTTAATGGTTGAATATTCAGAACATAATCTTTAAATACTAAAAGTGCAGATCTCAGCCAAAGTCATACATTTCAAGATGTTAAAGGTCCCTTATTGTAATGAATGCATTTTCCATGTCTTCCTTGATTTTTTTGCAGCTTTAGGTGATAGGTAAATATCAAAATGCTCAATCCCAATCAAGCAAACGGAATTGCAATCGGTTTGTGTTGTAAAGCGCTCAGAGTGGTCGCTAAAACAGGAAAAGCGCTGTGTTGAATATAGTTTTTTTTATCATTTGCCGTGACTGTTCAGAGTCAAAAGTGAAAAACCAAACAAATCTGGATACAGAAAAGTTAGATTTTCATGAAAATCCTGGGGTAGTTTTTATTTGATGTAAACATTATTATATATATATATATATATATATATATAACATTAGATTAGATATGTTTGTCCCCATTTCAATGAGGCAGTGCACATGAAATAAGTATGAAGTAAATTAGAGAATAAACATAAATAAACAGTAAATATATCAACAGTAGAAAAAAACATAAACAGTAAGTGAATACTTAACAGTCACTCTGTCGAATACACCATATAAATGTACAGACCAACTACAAAGTGTAACAATAACATTTAAAAAAAGAAACATATATATGCTCTCTAACGTGACCTTTGACCCTCTGTAGGACGCTGCGGTCCTGGCAGCGACCTGAGTCAGCGTGCATCAACAACTGTAACTGCTACACCGCGTCAGTGAGCCCCGTCTGTGGCTCCAACGGAGTCACCTACCTCTCCGCCTGCTTCGCCGGCTGCACCAAACCAGTGAGTGAGGGACTGCAATTAGCTCTGTCACCAGCACCTTATACACTGGACATCTCAAGCTTTAAGACAGGAAGCATACACACAGTGCAGTAGATCTCCATAACAACACTTTGATCTCTTCTCTCGTCCTCGTGTCAGAACCTGACCAGCTGCACGTGTATATCCAGCTCCAGTGAGGAGGCGGTGGCTCTGCCGGGGAAGTGTCCCAGTCCGGGCTGTCAGCAGGCCTTCCTCACCTTCCTGTGTGTGATCTGTGTGTGCAGCATGATCGGAGCCATGGCCCAGACCCCCTCTGTCATCATCCTCATCAGGTGAGGAGACCTGTTGCTGTTCATAGAGCTCCCACCAGAGGGAGCTGGTGACATGTGTGTCTCCTCCAAGGGACCATGAGGAAGTCACTTTGGCACAGGCAATGGTAGAAAGTACCAAAGTACATTTACTCAAGTATAGTATGTAAGTACTATTTTTCCATACTTGTACTTTTATCTTAGGATGCTTTATATTTCTACTCATTCAACATTTTCTGAGGCAACATTAATACGTTTTACTCGACTACATTTATTTAACTCTCATAGTAATTAGATAAGTTTTGCAAATAAAAACACATGGTATGCGTATATGATATGATGCACTACTATTCTGCTAATTCACCCAGCATTTCAAAAATAATTAAGTCCAACATTAAAATTATAAGATATAATTGTTGGTGATGAAAGCTGAATAATAATGTTCCATAATACTGTTAAAAGAGCCATTCTGCATGAAGAGTATTTTCACTTTGATGCAATTTGCCTATAATACTTTTGTACTTCTACTTAAGTTCCATTTTTTATTTAGACATTATTTAAGATGATAGTATTTCTATTTTTACTTCAGAAAGAATCCTAGTACTTCTCCCACCTCTGGTACAGGAAGTAGTGGAAAGTAAATAAATACATTTACTAAAGTACTGTATTTGAGTAGGATTTTGAGTTACTATACTGAAGTATGTATTGTATACTGTATTTAGTGCTATTTTCTAATTCTTAGAATTATTACTTTTAACTCCAATAAAACATTTTTATAACTGTAGGTATTTATTTCATATAGATTAATACGGAGCCCCCTAGGGGACATGGAGAAGAAAAAAATAATAATCTGAAAAAATAATACAGTTTTTCTCGATTGCTAACACACTTTTTTTTTAAATTGCTCAGTTTCTCAGAACACTAAACACAATTCACAAAACCACACACTTAAAGTGCAAAACACCTAATTTCTCCTGCTAAGTGAAGAACTGCACTCAAAACTACATAAACACTTACCAAATGCAAACTTTAGCACCAAATATAACACACTTCATTCATAATACTAGATGGTTTGACCACCCAACTACACACTGCTGAGCATACTCTAAAGCAGTGTTTCTCAAACTTTTTCATACCAAGGACCACTTAACCAATAAAAAAACAGTCGCGGACCACCTAACTCCACAAATATCAAAAAACACATCGTTTTTCTAGAACAGATTACAAATCGCCTGAAAATGGTACAAACAAGTGGCAACATGTGTGATGAAGGTGTTTCACTGGGCTGTATCATGCAATCATGAAACTTAACCTTGCTCCATTGCGGAGATATTCCCGCGAGAGTGCGGAAAACTTAAATTGATTAATACATTTCAAATGTGAAATGTTACCAATATACTCACGGACCACTAGGGGGCGCTCACGGACCACCAGTGGTCCGCGGACCACACTTTGAGAAGCACTGCTCTAAAGCACTTTCATCTGTTATGGGCTATGCTCTGTACAGAGAGGGTTCTGCAGAGAAAGATTGCTTGAGTTTACAGAAATACAGTAAATGAAGAAATACAAATGAGTTGTTGAAAAAAATCACATTTAATTCAAAGATAACATTGTGCAACATGCATCTCAGCACATAGTTACAATGCTTCGGATCTCTCTGAGTGTGATGCATTGTTTGCCAAAACCCAGTTTGTAGCTGCTGCTTCCTGCGTCATTGGAAATCCTTAGCCTTCCACCTCCTTGTTTCTCAGTCCTTCAGATAAACAACAAAGACATAGTGGTCGCTCAGTGTTTGTGTTGCATCAAAGTGAGTTTACCACAGTACATTGTGCAGGATGTGTGTACAGTTATAGTACGCAACATGCCAACAATTCAATTACAGTAATGAAGTAAATACGTTTCACAGAACAGATATAAGCACTGATATATCATGAGTATTCTTCTTTGTCCACGTCCTCTCCCTCCAGCTCTACCTGTACCTCTCATTCTTCCTCCTCTCACTCTCAGCCCAGCCCTTCCTCTTCCTCTTGCTTCCATGTTGACTTCCATTGTTGCTGTAAGAAAGTACTCACCTGTGGTCTTTTCATAGTGTTAACATCCTGATTGATGAGCCAACAATTATGCTATCAGGTGTTTGGTCAGGTGGAACGTGTTTCTTGATCATTGGTCCATGTGTGAGGCTTTTTGAATATCAGTGTTTTAAACCTGCTAACACGTGGCTTTATGTCAGATTCCTGTGTCTTACGTGGAGAAACGTGTGCAGTGGTTTGCAAAAAGTGCCATGTTGATTTGCAAATTGTGTGAAAAGCTGAAAACGTGTTTAGAGTTTTGGAGATTTGAGCCAATGTTTTGCTCTTTGAGTGTCAGTTAAAATAATTGTGCGTTATGTATAATTTTAGTGTGTTAGCAATCGAGAACAATTGTAAAGTATTGCGAGATCTCGTAAAACCCTGTTGCAGTTTGTTGACTGTCCCTAAGCACTCCTCTCCCTCCTCAAGCTGCAGATTGTGACCAATTCTTGAAGTTTAGCTCTGATGACGGCGCGTATCGAACTGTTCTGATAAAAAACGACTCTGTAGTTCGTTGTCTACCTTGCTATGATTGTAAAGTCACGTTGTTTGTATTTTTACAACATTATGTTCATGAGTTATTGATCCGCGAAATTCGAATCTGTCAATAACTCAGCTCAGAGTATGCTTTGCGACGTGCATGTCCCCTCGCTCTGAGTGTTCTCTTGAGGTGTCTTTCACTTATGTGAAACCTGTGCCTATTGCCAAGCACTGATGTTATATCTTTATATTTAAGGCCAAGTTCAAAGTAAAATCGATGAACCGCTCCATTGTTGTGGTTTCTGTGTTGTCGAACCAGAGGTCGCGTTAACCAAATATTTTCCGTCTATGACGGATTTTTTTTAACAATGACGGACAAATTTGAAAGCAGTCCATCATTTTGACTGATTAGAACAAACTCGGAACAGCGCCAAAGTTTCCCCGCAGCGAGGCTCCGGTGTTATGCTGTGTTATGCATGCCCTCCAAAAAGGAAATCATACCGTTTCCAAACCTAACTGTGCCGTACAAATCATTGAAATGTCGAGGTACAGCAGCCATGCATAACACGGCGCATGTGAACTGCCCCCCCCCCCCCCCCCCCCCTTGACAGTTCACGAGCATGCTTCCCAGCGAAAAAGTCTAGCGCAACCTCTGTGTCGAACTGACCAGGAAGTACATTGAGCTAAATTAAAAGTTTTTGTGATATGTCGCAAAATATATATATTATTTTCAAATAATTTTTTTCTTCTTCTCCATGTCCCCTAGGGGGCTCTGTAGATTACGGCTCTTGATAAAAAAAAATATATATAATTCACTGATAAGAAGTATTTATATATATTATTGGTTAAGATTCACAGCCGTTTATAAATCACTTTAAATTAGCCCAATTTTTTGATGAGCACGTTATTGAAGGAATCGTGTTGTATTATAAAATGGGCGGTACCACTTTACAATAAGACTACCCTTATAAAGGATTCATAAAGGGTTTATAATTAGGTTATGAATTAGTTATAAACACTTTATTAATCATTAAGAACCATTTATAAACCAGTTCTAACATAGTTTTCATACGTCAACACAGGCTCACTATTTGGCAAGATGACTAAGCCTTATATTGGCTACCTAGCTTACTTCGTCTTTTTCATCAGCCAACATCCTTGGTATCTGTTGTTCACTGAGTTGATTCCCCCCTTCCATCCTAATGTTTCTTGGCATCTCTTTATGACCATTTATTTATGAGTTACTAACATTTATAACTGCCAAAAGGGAGCCTTGTAAAGTGTAAAACACATTCCCATTTATTAATGAGTTGCAACCATTTATAATTTGTTTAAGTTATATTAAGCCTTAAAGTTATGCATAAATTAGGACGTGGTCACATTGAGTGACAGCTCTGTCCAGTGACTGCTGTTGTTAGCTTCCTGTCTTTCTGCTAGCAGCTCCGTGATGCTACAGGGACTCTGCCTGCTCAGCTCATCCGGGAAACATAACTTGAGCTTGGCCGTGTTTGTTGTGCTCATGTGCTGGTATACCTTGTGGACCATTCTTCATGCTTCAGGGTTCGTACGGTCATTGAAAAGTCATGGAAATTTAAAATGCAAATTCCAGGCCCTGGAAAAGTTATGGAAAACAATATTTTTCCCAAAGTTTTGGAAAATTCATGGAAATGTAACTAAAGTTGCCATCCATCCATCCATCTTCACCCGCTTATCCGTGGTCGGGTCGCGGGGGTAGCAGTTCCAGCAGAGAGCCCCACACTTTATTTTCCCTGGCGACATCAACCAGCTCTGACTGGGGGATCCCAAGGCGCTCCCAGGCCAGCGAAGAGATATAATCCCTCCACCTGGTCCTAGGTCTACCCCTTGGTCTCTTCCCAGCTGTGCCTGGAACACCTCCCTAGGGAGGCGCCCAGGTGGCATCCTTACTAGGTGCCCGAACCACCTCAACTGGCTCCTTTCGACGCGAAGGAGGAGCGGTTCAACTCCGAGTCCCTCCCGGATGACTGAACTTCTCACCTTATCCCTAAGGGAGACACCAGCCACCCTGCGGAGAAAACCCATCTCGGCCGCTTGTATCCGCGATCTCGTTCTTTCGGTCATGACCATAGGTGAGGGTAGGAATGAAAATGGCCCGGAAGACAGAGAGCTTTGCCTTCTGGCTCAGCTCCCTTTTTGTCACAACGGTGCGGTAAAGCGACTGCAGTACCGTTCCCGCTGCTCCGATTCTCCGGCCCATCTCACACTCCATTGTTCCCTCACTCGAGAACAAGACCCCGAGATACTTGAACTCCTTCACTTGGGGTAAGGACTCATTCCCTACTTGGAGTGGACAGTCCATCGGTTTCCTGCTGAGAACCATGGCCTCAGATTTGGAGGTGTTGATCCTCATCCCAGCCGCTTCACACTTGGTTGCGAACCGATCCAGTGAGTGCTGAAGGTCGCAGACCGATGAAGCTATTAGAACCACATCATCTG